GCTGACTTCGTTAATCTCGGCTCTGCTCGACACAAGAACCGAAACGTCATCCGCATAGACAGAATACCTGGCTGAGGTGGTAGCCCCAGGCAGGGAAATTCCGCGCAGGACCGGATTCGCCTTTAACTTGCGAAGGTTCCAACGCAAGAACAAAAAGCAAAGGCGAAAGTGGACAACCTTGATGAATGAAGTGATACAATACGACAGATTCCGATCTTACCCCAATCACTTCCACCAGCGCACCGGGAGTAGCATACAAATGTCGGATCCAGGAGCGAAAGTCGGGCCCGAAACCGGCCGCCGAAAGGACAGCCTCCAGAAAAGGATGGTCAACCCTATCGAAGGCATTGGACTGATCTAAATTGATCAGCGCGGCTTCACTATTGACTTGTTCTAAGATCAAGCGTACCACATGAAGGTTGTCCTGAATCGTCCTGTCCTTCACAGCACAAGTATGTTCGGAATCAATCAGACTAGACAAGACAATCTGCAAATGGTTGGCTAAGATCTTCGCCAATATCTTTAACTCAGTGTTTAACATTGTTAAAGGGGGAAAGTTATCTAACCCATCCCCACCGTTCTTGTCCTTACGCAGCAACTTGATCACACCCCAGGTGAAGCGTTGAGGTATAGACACCGGCTTCATCCAGTTGTTGAAAATCAGTTCCAGCAAAGGAACAAAAATGGGCGACTGCCGCAAGTAAACTTCGTAGGAAAGTTCCGGAGATTTATCCAGGTCAACCTGTTTCAGCGCTTCCCAGATTCTGACCCTGTCATGGGATCCTCGCACCCAGCCGCTTCAGCTGCCTCGAGGCAGGGAAAGTCAGCTAAATAGGCGTCGAACAGAGCAGGGCTCAGACCGGGCTGCCTGGTGAAAAGTTCCTGAAAGTAATCCCGAAAGGCCTCACATATGCCCACGTTTGTAGTCACGGTCCGCTTATCCGCCAATGTGACACACGCGATATGTTGCCGAGACGCGCTCCGATTTTCCTCTGCACAAAGTTCAACGGCCATATTCGTCGCCTCAGAGGACATTCTTTTTAACCTAGCCCTAACTAATAGAGCTTGAACCTTCTTGATAAGCAAGGAGGACAACCCTGCCTTAGCTAAGGCTATTTCTCCACTATCACGGGATTTAACTGCCCGATCAACTTTTTGCTCTAAAGCCGTTTGCACCGCTGATTTATCTAGATTGAGTCGACGACTAAAATTGGCAGCAAACGTTCTAATTTTGAATTTTAATTTATCCCACCAGGCGTTCCCTGAAACCGTCCCCGTCAATTCCCTCTGTATCATTAGTAGCAGCTGGTCTCGGAATTCCTGCTCACCAAATAATGAACAGTTTAATTTCCAGTAGACAGCCAACCTAACTTTAGGCTTATCTAAGTTTACACGGACCCGGACAAGCCTATGATCCGAATAAACTATATAATGGAAACTTGGACACCCTAAGAACCCTACATCGACTCTCCTAACTAACACTCAGTCTAGCAAGCGTCCCAGAAGCCGAATTGCCACTATTTGTCCGAGTCCAAGAGGGTGTTCATTCCGGTACTTATCGACAAGATTAACCCCGTCGATAAAGTCCCGAAATGGTTTCACAGCCCGGTTGTTAGCACCCGGATTTTGCCCTATACGATCTATATCGGGGTCAAAGACGGCATTCCAATCCCCCGCTAAAACTACCCGAGATGTCGTCAAGAACGGCTCGATCTGCCGAAACAAAGCAGGCCGCTCAGAATAGTTATTGGGCGGATAAACCCCAATGAGACGCAGAGCCTTATGCTTTATGGTAACATCCAGCACGCAAAGTCTGCCCGCCGGATCTGCGAAGACAAGAGTACATGCAGCCTTCAAAGACTTGCTCACCAGCCAAGAGACATCTCTCGAACGACCATCAAGACATGCTGGATAAAGGGAGAACTCCTGAAACAGTATGTCCTCATGGTCATGAGAAGAAAACCGAGTCTTCTGTACGCAACAAACATTCACCCCGAGGCGCTGAAGGTCGCGAGAGAGCCTCGTCCTGCGAGACCCCACCTCAGGCCTCGGACATTTATACTTGCTAACCAGAGAGCCATAGTGAAAACTGATTAAGGTTGCTTTTCTGAATTGAACATGGTCGGGGTAAGGATACCGACCGCTTCCCCCATCGACCCGTGGCCCATCTCAGTCTTGATGGTGATGTCTTGGGAGAGGCCGCCTATATCCCAAGGGAAAGTCATTTTTGTGCTTTATAGAGGGAGCGGTGAACAAAAACTGGGGCTCTCCCAGCACAAAATTGCTTCATTCTTTAACTTTTCATTCGGGACGATTGTGATGGACAGGGACATTTTGAAAGCGACTATAGCTTCGTCCAACGTAGCCCAAGCCTGCTTCGCCCCCGTCCCAGTTCTCATCACAGTCAGCACCCTTTCCGAATTAGGAAAGTTTTGGGGTTCTTCTATGTCCTTGTCTGCGAACTGTTTGATGGATAACAGATATTTTAAGTTTTTAATTCTGTTTCCATAGTCTCTAGCTTTTTTCAGCTTGGATGGGCGAAATTTTACATACGTCTTCACCGGAATTGAAAATATGGTTTTTATTATTATTATTATTATTTTTATTCCGGTTAATTCGTGAGTGGGGCTTCTGCGCCTTTTCTTTTGTGGAGGGGCATTTCTGGAGGTTTAATGGGAGAAGGACTGGGGGTGTGGCGGGGTGTATATGTTTGTCTAAAAAGGCTGGGGTCTCTACTGAGAGCGATTGAGGGATGGGAAGAAAATGTGGATGGAGAGGCAGGTGAGGAATTCTCTCTACAAAGAGGGGTTGAGTGATGGGAAGAAAGTGGTGGGTCAGATGATGTAGAGGGAATGAACCTTTTTGAAGAGGTGGACTTTGGCTGACTGGATGTAGAGGGCTGGAATTGGAAGGAAGTGTTTTCTTCGTGGGAGAGGATTTTGTTTTCCTTTGCTGGTCTGATTTTAATTTTTTCAGTGTTTTCATAGCCAGGGTCATATTTTCTTTGTAGATCTTGGATGTTCGGTACTGAGGCTGGGGCGTCGCCCTTACTGTTGACAGAGTGAGTCGGGCTGTAAGTGCCTTTTGTCTTAGGGGCTTCAGAGGACTGAGGACCCGCTGTCTGACGCTTCCCTCTGGCTCTGCCAGCAACCTGCCATTCTCCCTCTCCCTCCTCCACAACTGCACTTGTGGAAGCGGAAGAAGTATCTTCGAGGAATGAGGGCTTTGGTGTTGGCCCAACCGGGGGTTTGACCACTCCAATCCCGGAAGCTGGCATGCCCCATTACATGCGAGGCGGATTTTAAAGAATCGGTCAGTGGGGGAGTTTGGTACACTGGGGCCTGACTTCCAGAGGCCTTCTTCTCTGGACAGGAAGAGGAAAGGTGACCAGTCACTCCGAACTTCCAACAAACTGGTTTACGGCCGGTCACAATGACAGGCAGCTTCAGGCCACCAACATCCAGACAGGTGGGGATGGAGACGAAGGCCTTACGATCCAGCATAATGTCGAAGCTCCATCCCCCAGTCAGGCTATCACAGGAATTTCGACGTACTGGGACAAGAAAGCTGACAGGTGCTCCCCAATAACTGGTCCTTCTTCTGACTTCTTCTGACTTCTACTCAGTTCGGAGAATGAAATCTTTTTTGAATAACTCTCGACTAGTGGCTTTTAAGCAGTCCTCGGCAGTGGGTAATAGCACGTCCCACATGAAAAAAACCTTTACCCTTAACGATACGAGGTGGCTTAAACCCTAGGGTCTCTAGTGTTTTCACCATTGTGTCTTTCATCGAACGACAAATTTTGCGTGAACGCTTGTCGACGACAAAGACCAACACTATTCTTTTATCGATCTACTTTAATTCGATTGTATCCTCCAAGAGCCCACTTTCTAGCACAAGGTCTGCGTAACTCTTGAGACGCTCCAAGAACTCCGTAATATCGATAATGCATTTAGGTGGGGACTTCCAACAAGAGGGCGATTCCCCGGCCTCTGCATTCTCACTTGACTTGTCTTTTTCCTGGCCATTATTGGCTTCTACGTTTTGGCTCTTTTCGGCCTCCGTAGACTTAGTAGCTTTTTTTAACGCATTTACAATTTCCTCATTCGTTTGAACACTCGATAAGACTGGGTACTCCTCAGTGTCATCCTAATAAATGTTTCTTTACGGACCTTTTAAAGCCCGCCATAACAGGTCTCTTCCTTTTAATAAGGAAGGACGGGATGTTGCTTTTTTTCTTTACTTTTAGTATTTATATAACGGAAAAGGAAGGGGAGGGGTGGTAAGAAATAATGGTGGCCTATAGGCAAGGGGAAAAAATTTGAAACAAAGTTCGCCTAGCAGCGAAACAAATTTAAAATGACAGACAAATAACAGCACAAAATTAACAAGAAAAACGTAAACAATTGGTCACAAACAAAAGCAGTTCAAAACAAAAGTTATACAAAACAATGACCCAACTAAAGTACAGAAAATAAGAAAAACTATAAAGAAAACACTTTAAACAATATTTAAGTTACAGACACGAATACGAAACAATACGTATTAACTAAACAAAAAATCAAGATGGCCGCTAAAAAAATAAAGGCTTGCCCAATAAGCAAAAAGGACAAGTTAACAGACACGAATACGAAACAATACGTATTAACTAAACAAACAAAATCAAGATGGCCGCTATAAAACAGAAAGGTTAAAATGCACCAAGAAATCTGCCCCGAGGATTGGCGTCTCAACATTGGCTATCGTGAAGGGCCAGGTAAACTTCCTCCTTGGGCCGATATTGAGGGACATAATGCGTTCTCCGTGTGTGCTGATTGGCGTGTTATTGGCAGTTTGCAGTTTGAGTAAAGCTTCCTTGGGTTTTGTCATCGACTTGTCGTAGCTGCTCAGTGGTATGACGCTGATCTGCGCGCCTGTGTCGACCAGAAATCTGAGGTTGCTATTGCGATCTTGGATGTAAAAAAGGCGATTTTTATCATCAGCCCTGGCAGCCAACGCCCTTAATGGTTGCCAGGTTGGTCGTTTCCCTGTTGCTTAGGTGCGAATATGCTTGGGTACGAACATAGTGGCTGGCATTTCTTTGCGCGCGCGCTGAACACCTCGTGGTACCAGCAAACACTACGTGGTTGGTGTTGGGGGCGCCGCGACGTAGAACGTCGGCGGTGAACGCTGTTCCGATTCGTTGAGTTACTTCGGCTTCTGCTTGGTATGTATTGGATTTCGTTTATACGCAGGGAAAGTTTCCTCACCTCCGAGGCTAAGGTTTGCAACTGTTGATTAGTGCCTGGGGTTGAATCACTTGACAGCGCGACAGAGGCAATTAGATGAGTCGGTCGGGTATCAGAGATCTTGTCGGCTATTGCCGCTAATTTTTGTATAAACACTTCGTCTGTTAATGTTGCAAGAATCTGAACTGTGTCTGGACTTAGTTTGTCCAGCCACATTTGTTTTAGTACGGCCTCAGACATGGAATTGGTGCCAACCAAGGTTTGCATCTTGCGTAAAAGTTGGGAAGGTTTATTGTTTCCCAGGGTCACGTTGGTTAGTTCTTTGATTTTGTGTTCTTCCGAACAAGCTGTTCGCTGGAGTATCACCTGTTTAAGTACCTCGTAAGGTTTATCTGGCGGGATGTCGTTGAGTATGTCTGCTACCTCCGATGCCACATCGGCAGGTAGCTTCTCGACCACATATGCGAATTTAGATTGCTGCGAAGTAATATACCTCGCTTGGAAAATGGCACCGAGTTGGACGAACCACGTTTGCACACTAGTATTGTATGTTGGAAGTTCTATTCTGAATGTAGCTTGGGTTGGTGGTGCGTAGTCGGCCATATTGACTTGGTTCCTTTTTGGAGGGAAAAAATTTGAAATTGGCGCCTTCTGACGGTTAAGCCGCTGCGGGTCGTTAAAGTTGTTAATAATTTGTAGTGTGTCAGTTCTTGTCTAAACGTTGGGTTACCAATTTTGTTGTGTGCCAGTCTTTATCTAGAAGTCGGGGTTACCAATTTTGTTGCGGATTGTAGCTGAGTGAAAATCTATCAGAAGGTAATTTATGTAAAGGCAAATGTTATGCGCACTTATGCATTATCCCACAACACGTAGATCAAATAAAGAATATAAGGACAATTTGTATTGCAAGAAATTACTAAAAACACAGTGGTTAGAGATCCAACAATAAAGAGATATTTATATATACAATAGATATACATGCAAGGATAACAGAATGTTTGTTGATTGTGGCAATTGAGACAAAGTTATGAAGAATGTTCATGCAGAAATTTGCTCAATAAAGGTTAATGGTTTTGATTTGTTAATGAAATTAAAATAATTTCGTTTCTGCAAGGAAAAATCTCAAATGTGTTCGTTCAAATACTAGTGTGTATACGTGTGTTACTTGTTAGTTAGAATTTAAGTTGTGTAGAGTTGTTTGCCTTTAACTGTTTGGCTAAATTGATGAATTTTACAATTACTGTTTGTGTAGTGAAAATGTTCACGTTTTAAGTCAATTGTAATTCTATTACCACGCGGACAATGGTCGATTGAGTGCTGTGTTGAGTTTGTTGAGAATTTTGAAGTGATGTTGAGTCAGGGATTTGACACGCGTGGAGTTTGGTATCATCTCACGAAACTTGATGACTGACTGACTTGAATTGAGTCATGCGGCTGTTTATATAGAATTTGGTGTCTAAAATTCGGCTCCAGGGAGCTTCGGTGGTCAAAAGGATCTGTTTCGACTTTGCTACAGTTTAGTGTTTCTTAACCAATAGAAGATTGAATTTACTGAAACGAAGTGATGATTGGTTAAGGCTTTTTTCTTAGGGAAGAATACATTTCTCCGAAAGGGGTGGAAGGCTAATGTGGAAGATTCCACAAGCTCGTCAACGACAAAATATAAAACAAAAACATTCAATTTAGAAATACAAGAATAAAGCATTTATATAACAAATGTATACAACATGAGAATGAGAATGTACTTTAGGACAGATAGAGAGTTTGTTTATTAGACCCTTAATAAAAGCTGTTTCTTTCCCTCTTGATTCAGAATTGGTAAAAAAAACATTTGAAATCTTTAAGGAAGAAATTGAAAAGGCCTTACTATACTCGGTCGATGAAAACATTCCTCTCGTAGTAGAAACAGATGACTCTGGTACTGCTATTGCGGCCACTCTGAATCAAGCAAACCGCCCAGTTGCATTCTTTTCACGTACACTAACGGCTACAGAACAAAAACATTCTTCTGTAGAAAAAGAGGCTTGTGCAATAGTTGAATCTGTCAAAAAGTGGTCATATTATTTATCAGCGCGGCGTTTTGTGATAGTCTGTTGCAGGCCCGGTAGGGTGAAGTGCTGGTTTATTACTAAGTGGCCTTGTGCCAGAACCACACTAAACTACCGAGTCTACAAGCAAAGTAAAAAATAAATAAAAATGCGTGAATGAACAACGAAGAAATGTGGTTAATCCACGTGCATAAAATAAAATATATTAAGATAGCCGGCACAGAATGACTCAAAAAAGACCTAATTCAACAAGAGTAATTTTTATTAAATGCAGGAAAACAAGTAACTTATCCCGTAGTAGGGATCAATGAAAATGTTCCGCCAAAATAGAAAACAAGATGGCTAAGGCGGGAAAAGTTCTTGAAGAAGAAGAATATTCCAGATAAGTCAATGTACATGATAATATACATACAAGGAAAAAATACTCACTGCGAGTTTTTTTGCTAATGTGAGAAGAAATGTTATGTATATATATTTTTTATTTTTTTTGGTCTGGTTCAAAACAGATTTATGACGAGGCCAAAAGGGACGAAAAGTTAATACTTGAGTTGCATCGTCTCGTAGAATAATTTTGAATGACGAGCCAAAAGGGACGAAGAATTAATTATTTGGTGTTTGCATCGTCTCGTAGAAGAATTTTGAATGACGAGCCAAAAGGGACGAAGAATTAATTATTTGTGGTCGCATCGTAAGATGTCCTTCGTCAGTCAATCTAAAATATTGACATGGATTAAAATGAGTCTGCCCAGGTCCGAGTCTGGATCACAACTAACTTTTGAAACAACAGTTTTGTCGGTGACGTCACAAATTTCGCGGGAAGATTTCAAAAATCTAATTTGCATAAGAAGGAGTAGCAGGTCGCTTGACTGACGACAAAACCAGTTACTACTGTATTAGACCGAAAGAGGCAGAAAGGGGTGTCAAACGCGCGAGCGCGCACACGCGAGTGTGGAAGAAAGGGAGGAAACTCGCGCGCGCGTAAAATGTTGTAGATGGAATAATACATTATTCCACAAGTCACAGATCAGCAAGCTGTTAATTTCATGTTTGATGCAAGAGGGCATAAAAAGATCAAGAACAGCAAGATCGAACGACGGGGAATGGAATTGGGGTGTTATGAGTATGACATCATGTATCGACCAGGAAAAAACAATATCTCAGCTGATACGCTCTCACGCGTCCAGTGAAATGCTCACCAACATAGGAAAACTACAAGAAATACATGAAAATCGTTGTCACCCTGGTTGGCTCATTTTGTTAAAGTAAGAAATCTTCTGTACTCTATTGAAGATGTTAAAAGAGTGTGTACAGTATGTTAAATGTGTGCTAGATGGAAACCACGCTTCTATACACCAGAAGCAGGATGCCTGGTCAAAGCAACACAACCGATGGAACGACTCAGCATTGACTTTAAGGGACCCCTTCCTTCAACTTCGAAAACCCACTACTTACTTACGGTGATAGATGAGTACTCGCGTTTCCCTTTTGCCTTTGCATGTACAAGCACAAATACAGACTCAATAATACAGAGTCTAAATCAGATATTTACAGTATTTAGCATGTCCTCTTACATCCATTCAGATAGAGGAACATCATTCGTATCAAGGGAATTACGCGAATATCTCACCAATCTTGGAATCGCTACTAGCCGGACATCGCCTTATCACCCTCAAGGAAATGGACAGTGTGAACGGTATAATGGAATTATCTGGAAACACATCTCATTCGCCTTAGCCTCAAGAAATCTTAAAGAATCGCAATGGGAAAAAGTATTGCCTAAAGTATTACACTCCATAAGATCTCTCCTTTGTACTGCTACTAATGCCACACCACATGAAAGACTCTTTTCATACCAACGGCGAACTCCCAGCGATCATTCCTTACCTACTTGGTTATCTACGCCAGGACCTGTTCTTTTGCGTCGCCATGTCCGAGCCAATAAGTATGAGCCATTGGTTGACGAAGTACTATTACCGGAAGTAAACCTACAATATGCTCACATAAGATTCACCAATGGACGCGAATCTACATTATCTGTAAGTGACTTAGCACCAGCAAGGAATTCATTAAAAGTTGGGAAGCCGTAGATGATAACCTCCAGAAAGATTTAAATGATTCTACATCCACTAATGAAAACAATTCAGATGAAAAACTTGAAGTAGATAGTAATGACTAACAAACTACCATTAACCCAGAGATAACAACTTCTCCAAGTGATCTAAAGACTACTCCCCCTCATGTAATGTCAAGAAATCCTGAGATACCCAGACGATTCCAATGAGAAATTCGTAAGCCAAAGAGATATCAAGAACTGTAAATAAATAAATAAATAAAAAGGAGGGGATAATGTACTATACTTATCTGCCCTTGGCATTTTTGTTATGGTAATTACCACCCTTACGAACTGACGGGGGCTGTGGTGGGAAATGCCTGGTGGGATAAACTTAAATCCAAAATTAGAACGTTTGCTGCTGATCATAGTCGTCGGCTCAATCTAGATAGATTAGCTGTGCAAACGGCCTGTGAGCAAAAAGTTGATCGGGCGATTAAATCCCGTGATAGTGGGGACGTAGCCTTAGCTAAGGCAGAGTTGGCCTCCTTGCTTATCAAGGAGGATCAAGCTCTGGTAGTTAGTGCCAGGTTAAAAAGAATGTCCCCTGAGGCAACGAATATGGCCGCTGAATTACCTGCAGAGGAAAGTAGGAATGCATCTGGGCGGCATATCGCATGTGTCACATTGCCAGATAAGCGGGTCGTGACTACAAACGCGGGCATATGTGAGGCTTTTCGTGAGTATTTTCAGGAACTTTTCACCAGGGAGCCCGGTCTGAGCCTTGCTCAGTTCGACACCTATTTAGCTGATTTTCCCTGCCTTGAGGCAGCTGAAGCAGCTAGGTGCGAGAATCCCATTACAGAGCCGAAAATCTGGGACGCGCTGAAACAGGTTGGCCTGGACAAATCTCTGGGATTAGATGGTCTTCCGTACGAAGTGTACTTGAGGCAGTCGCCCATTTCGTTCCCTTGGTGGCACTGATTTTCGGCAACTGGATGAAGCAGGGGTCTATACCCCAACGCTTCACCAGGGGCCTAATCAAGTTGTTACGTAAGGATAAAGCCGGTGGGGATGGGTTAGGTAACTTTCACCCTTTAACTATGTTAAACACAGAATTAAAGATTTTGGCTAAGGTCTTAGCAGGCTGTCCTCTCTAGTCTGATTGGCTCCGAACAGACCTGTGCTGTGAAGTGCAGGACTATTCAGGACAACCTTCATATGGTACGCTTGATCATCGAGCAAGTCGGCAGTGAAGCCGCGCTGATCAATTTAGATCAGTCCAAGGCCTTTGCTATGGTTGACCATCGGTTTTTGGAGGCTGTCCTTTCGGCCATACATTCGCACCTGGATCCGACTTCTGTATGCGACCTCCGGTGCGCTGGTAGAAGTGACTGGAGTATGATCGGAGCCTTTCGTATTGTCTCGCTCCATTCGCCAAGGTTGTCCGCTTTCGCTTTTGCTGTACGTTCTTGCGTTGGAACCTTTCCTTCGCAAGTTAAAGA